CTGGACGGGGTCATTCTGCTGTGTTCTTGGATAAAACACTTAACTCTCACAGTGCTTCTCTCCACCTAGGAGTAGAAATGGGTACCGGTCCATAGGGCAGTTATATTAAGGAGACAAAATGCTGGTGTAACCATGCAACAGACGAGCGTTGCGAAATGGGGGGAGGAAATTTCAGAACTCCTATTCGTTTAATTGTTTCTATAGATCTCAACAACTCTATATGTAAACCGAGCTGAGCACTAAAATTATTTGCGTGAAGCTATTTGTAGATCACGTCATGGGCTCTGAGCCGAATGAAAAGTAAATGAATGAAGGGCAGGACACTGTACGTTGTTTCTTACTTACATTAATGTCAGTAAGAAACATTGACTTTGAATGTACATTACCTGAAGTAAATAAAATCAGCATTGTTGATATCACGTGCATTGAACATGATTCCAACGTACGCAATGCGGTCTCCGCTCCAGCCCAACTCGCTGAACAAATCCACGGAAACCTGGTAACTAGAACTCTCCTCCATTTGAACATCTTTAAGAAGAGCGCGGCAGAATCCGTGCGCCCAGAAGTCACCTTGACTTATAACAGAATAGTACTTCATGTTATCCTGCACTGTGGCGCAACTCTTAGTTTCAAATGGCAGCGACGGCAAGTCAGCGATGACAAAGTCCTTAAATTGAACAACGTTGCCATGGTGATTAGCCAGTAACACGCCGCCAGCTGCCTTGGGAGGGAAGTGCCCTTTAAAGGAGGTCACGTGAACTCCCCCGAGAAAAACGGAGACGTCATATTTTCGGACCTCAAGCGTAGCATGGATCCATCGTGCCCTGCGAGGTGGGCCGTGTGGACAGGAGCCCATCTGGGACTCGTACCAGTTTAACCGGCCTTGCTGGATTTCCCCAGTTTGGAAACACGGGTTGCCGCTTGCGCCAACCCTGGGTAAGTTAAAGATCAAACTATCAAAACAGAGTTTCCAAGAAAATACGCCGGCTGACTTTCCGTTTTAAATATTCAGCACTGTTTAATTCATTATTCGTTATTCAGAAAGTTAGGCCTTCCTCAGTAATAACATTTTGATTTTGAGACTCTTTTGATGTGCTCTCTTCTATCAAAAGGCGGTTGTAAATGCTATCTATTTTATGTTAAAACGGAGACTTAAAAATTACTGTCGAAAGACGTTCGTCCAGTATTGTGTAAACGCCTGAAAAAGAGACCTTTGTTAAATGCACTCACAATAATTTGGAGGCACGTGAAAACTTAAGACGAAATCCGATTGGAAATCGGGCAACTGTCTTCAGTTTTTAATGGACAAAAACCTTGTACCAAAATAACTTCAAGTATAATACAGTCCTTTTTGCATTTTCTAAAAGCTAAAGATATCAACAGTTGCCTGAGATAACACCAAAAACAATTCCCATGGAACTCGAGGAAATAAATTTCAAAGTTTAGAGGAATTGCGCAAACACAGGTAAAATTTCATCAGTACTTTCAATTGTTTCTTATGAACTTCAAATTTTGTTTTCAACATTTGGTGTTGTTAGAAATGATTTCTTTTGAGGAGATGTTTAGGACAGTCACACAGAAGTTTCCAATACACTGTCAATTATCTCGGCAAAAAGTTTCTTTTTCCGCTTGTGTACTTGAACTTGTGGTGGATTCCTTTTTAAGCATTTTGCCACTTTTTTGGCTCAGACGAAGACGGAGACGTTTGAAAATCTGTCACCCGACGCTTTTATTTGTCCTGTCAGTCTTCTTAAAGACGCACGTTCCCTATATAAGAATTCCCCGTTAATTTAACTTTATAAGCGTTTTCAAAACTACTTTTACCTGAAGAATATCAAATCGAAATTGTCCTCATTTTCAGCGTTGAAAAATACCCCGACGTAGTTTACCAACATTGAGCTCTTGAACCCAGGAACATAGAAGTCAGCGGTTATCCTGTACATGTCAGGCTCGGTTGCAGTGTAGGCACTCAGAGCGCGGCAAAATCCATCGCGCGGCCAGCGACCCTGGCTCGCATTCAATGTGTACATTTCTTCATCGTGTTCAATGTTCACGCAAGATGACACTTTACCTGTTAGGATTTAACAAAAAGAGTTTAAGCTCTCGTCCAAGAGCAACTGTTAAAACGACTTATATGTTAGTTTTTAAATAACTCTGTGATAAATCGATATACCCTTCCGGGTGCAGAAGAGAGAGGGGTGGGGGTATTTGCATTACTGTGGTACTCTTCTGCTTGTGGATCTTTCACAGAGCGTCATGGTGAGATCTGTAAACGGCTAATCCTAGAAACGTCAATTTGGGGGTTTTTGTACACCTGGTGATAAATATATTTTCCTGTAAATAGGGGTGTTTTTCACATCATAACTAGCTATTACTTTTATAATAATAAAAATTTCATTAAAGTGATACGCCACATTAAGTACGTGGACGTTCTTTATCTATAGGTACTAATTTGAATTTCTAAATCGACACACAGTTTAAGTTTTAGGGATTTTCTGTTCTGGTCACGGGCAAAATATATGGCCGTTATTTGAAAATCTTAAATGAATCTTCAATGGAACAAAGTTGTGCAAACGGCGTATCTGCGTGAGCTCAGGTTTCCAAAATATGATGGTTAGAAACCTTCCTAACACTTTTTTAAAGCAAACGAAAACATGGACCGAAAACCGGACAGCTATTTTGATGTCCAGTCATAACATTAGTGATGGGGTCAACAGCTGCATTGGACAAATTCACAAAATGTCCGATGACCGACAGCGTATGTATCCTGAGCAGGGTGTCATGTAGTGTCATAGAAAAAGTTTCCTATCCCTCTACGGACTTGCCAAAATACGCCACGACACTTAATTTATAACTAACTGCTAAAGCTAGTGAGTAGCCTAGCAGTGTGCAGTTGTCAATAAAATGGCGACCGCTTCCTTGCGTTTCCAACGTGTTTGTGAGGAGGGTTTACAAAACGTTTTGACCAACTATTAGATTTAGACTTAAACATTTGATCATTAGCTCTCGAATTTTATTCGTGATAGTATTATTGCAAGGTAGAAATCTTAATTACTTAATCCAGCTAACTGTTAAAACATTTATTTACTCACAAAACTGAGTGGTTTTAAGTTCCACAAGCGCCTCGTCGCCGATCGCAGCTTCGGTTCGCGCCTGTATAACGATCGAGTATTCCGTGCTGTGCTCTAAGTTGTCAATGATGTAATCAGTCGTGTTCGAGGGGATGACCAGTGTGTTGTTTTCATAGCTGATGACGTAGTTTATCACGGGGAATCCCCCGTCGTTCTTCGGATGGCTCCAACTTAAAATTACGCTATCACAAGTTGCCTCTCCACTGACGTCTCGTGGGCTGCTTGGGGCAGCTACAAGAAACAAATCGTTAAAATTTTTAAACATTGAAATATATGGCATCTTTTAACAAAACTTAAATTAGACAGGAATCGTACATATCTGCAGGGAGGCACTTAAACGAGAGTCCTAATATCTTCTGAAGAAGGGCTAACACTCGAAATGTATTTATTCATTATTATAATTATCATTATCATTATCGTTATCGTTATCGTTATCGTCATCGTCATCGTCATCGTCATCGTCATCGTCATCGTCATCATTATCATTATCATTATTATTTCAGGTTCTCCGAGGGGGTTAATTATCGACCAGAATAAATCAAACGCTTTGATCAGCGCTACATGTATATCTAAGTTAATCAAGGTCTCAACTGATAAGTGTTGTGGACCTGAAATCCTCCTTGATAATTCTAGATATCAGGAATTAAGAACAAAATCCAGAAGTTGTTACTAATTGCAGGAAGGTTTTTAACTGTCTTGTTTATAACTATTCTGCATTCTAACACTGGCTCAATGAGATGCAGAAAAATTTTGAAAAGAACTTGTTATATCATCGTTTGCAAGGTGAAGAAAGTAATTCTTTTTGCAGCAAATCACGTGCAAATTACATAACGTATAATAAGATTTATTAAAAACTGGATCATTGGATAATGCAATGCAAGAGTTTTCACTGGCTTAGCCATCATGGTATATGGGTCATTATACCATGCTCTACAAATATCGTAAGTGTACGCGTGATTCTTGGGGCGTTTTTATTTTTATTTTATTTTAGTTTTGTGTATTTTTTTAGGGGCGTTTTTAATGAAACAATTGTTTCACGCGCGCTTGTCAAATATGAAATGGTTAAAGTCAACGAGGCGCGTCATCTCATATCCAATATGTGCTCAGGGAATAATGATTAATTAAAACACATAAAGTACCTGATGATATTATTTCAAAAGTGTAATTTTTTGAAGATACTTTAACTTCGTTTTCAGCCATACAAACGTATTCCCCAAAATCGTCCACACTATCGACTGGGACACTGTATGAGAGAGATTCTTTGCTGCTCGCCAAAACTTGGCCATCCTTGATGATTCTTACATCAGGGGGTGGATAACCGCTGAATTCGCAATTGAAGACTGTAGGCTTTGGGTTGCCAATGTAAGATAAAACAGGCTTGGCTCTGAGCATGCTGGTGACAAGTCTTGGTTCGACTAGTGAGAGAAACACAAATCCACATTGCAGGGAAGCTCAAACAGCGTTGATATTGATAGGCGGAAAAGACAAGCATTTCACCAGATTACAGGTTACGGAATCGCCTTTCAAAGAAAGGCTCAAAATATCTTGGATAAAGTAAATGGGCTAACTAGAAATGCAACTAGTCGATATTTTTAGTTTTAGAGTTGTCCAAACGTAATGTTATCCACAGATTTCTAACTCCTTTCTTCTTTTTATTAGATTTCTTTCTTGCGAATACTGAGCGACGACTCTGCAACTAAGACTCAAAACCTCGACATCTCGACCTCTCAGCATTGTGGTGTTTCGTCGAGAAATTTTGACGGACCGATCGACCGACCGACTGACCGACTAACAAACCGACAGACTGACAGACTAACTTACTGGCTGACTGACGGACTGACTGACCGACGGACGGACGGACTGACTCAGGCTGACTGACTGACTGACTGAGCTGTGGATTCCAACTTCATAGACTGACCATGGCTAATTTTCCGCAGCGTTGTTTACTTTTTACGGATATTTTACACATACTAATGCTTTTAAAAAAGAACATTTTCAAAGCTGCTTACCTCTGACGATCAATTTAGCGCTCTTTTCGCTAAATATTTCTTTTCCTTCGTCATCTTGTGCCCCGTTCTTGGCTTCACATGTGAACTGCGAGTTATCTTCAATTCCTACCTTCTGGAGATATACCTCACTTTTTCCAGGTGATTTCTGGGCAAATTCAAGCAAAACGAAAACAAATCAAAGAAAAAAAACTTCGAAGTTCAAAACCAATTGCAGTCATACTAAAAAGTGGAAATTGGAAATTGTTGAAGATGAACAATGTGCGTAACTCGAGCCAATTAAACACTAACTTATCTATAAAAGTTATTCAAATGAACAATAAAAAAAATCCGTAGTAATCGATGTCCAACAGTAGCAGTTGAATGTAGACATGATGATAGATGCGAATGCAGCCATAACAATACTGGAAAAAAGACCTCAGTAGGGAGAGCAACGCAAAGGTCGTGGGTTTGAATCCCGTTCAACGCCTGAATATTTTTTCAGGTCTTTTTTCCAGTAGTGTTATGGCTGCATTCGCATCTATCATCATGACTACAAGAAAAAAATCGTCCATAAAATGTATAGGAAACATCCTGGAGAAAACAGTAAGCAAACTTTATGTACGCATTGCGTGTCTATAGATGAAGATTACCTTCTGGTTGGAGTATGCAACTCCTTCTTTTATCCACTCAACAGTCGGGGTCGGAACACCCGAGGCGTTACAAGTCAGCGAAGCATTCTCCCCTTCATTTACCACCACCTCAGGTATCGGCGAAATTTGTGAACGCACTGCAATGGTATTAAAGTTGGAATTTTTTAAGGGGTCAACTGATGTTGCTGTGAAGTCATCTGACGATTCGGAGTGGTTATTGCTACGTCTTATAAGCGTAGAAATTTTTAAAAGGAACGCCACAATCTACATTAGTCAAGGAATTTATTAGATGTCTATGTTGGATCACTGGATCATTAACAGCCAATCAACTAATTAAGAATTCAGTTAACGTTACCTTCGACAATCCAAATCAGCACAGTGAAACTTGTTACTTACAATCAAATTAATCGATATACTCGCAAGGAGGTTCCCAATAAGTTCAAGAGTTAATGGTCCTGCGGCAGCAGGACCATTAACTGTCATAATCTGCCAAATATACAAAAGATGTGGAAATTTGTACCCTCCACTGAAAAAGGAGGGTAATGTTTACCAATCTGTCAAGGGCATACTATATTCATTCTCTAACCTTCTTCTTTCAACGGAGGGCTTGAGAGGATCTCTTTTGACTTGTTAGCGTTAAATGAAATTTAATTCGTAAATCAAGTAAATAATGGGGTCATTTTTGATCTTTTTTTTTTATATATATACATGCATTTTTTTTTTATTTACATACATTTTATTTTTGTTTTCAAATTAAAATTACAATTATAACATGCCCGCGGATAGCTGAGCTTATCTAGGCGGGTCATGTTTACATGAATTATTAATATACAACTAGGTACAACTAAATACAACTGAAGGCAACATGAGAACTAAAGAGACTAAAATTGACGACAATGACTAGAGACAACTAATAAACTAACGGTATTACAAATAATACCAAATAATATAAATAATGATCTGAATGGTTCGTTTTGATCGCCAATGATCCAACTGATGCATATACCACGACAGTCAGCCATCGAAATGAGATCCCATTGCTTGAGCCATAAGCCGTCGAACAAAAAGTTTTTTCTCCTTGTGCTCTATAATCCTATCGTTATTCTTACTTACCGTAAATGATATCAAAGACCACATTCGTTGTCGTTGTCTGCAAAGGGTTCGTCGCTTCTAACGTCCACATCCCAGCATCTTTTTCTTCCAGTGACGTTATGGTAAGTTTTCCTTCACTAAGCAAGAAACGAGGATCGTCTGCAGATACATTGTCTCCCGATGGGTTCTTCCACATCACTTCCGGTTTGGGTATACCGGAAACATTCCAAGTCAGAGTGACTGGAAAACCCGCGGTTAGATTCCTTGAGGGGAGCTTGGGCTCTAGAGTGAACTTTGGAGAATCTAGAAGGAGAAAGTAATGGCTCTCTGTTAATAGCAACAAAATGTTGGGAAAAAGTGTGAACAACACTTCTTGTAGATACCAACTTTTCACTGCTGAATCGGTGAGAAAGTATTTGTCGAATTGGCCTCACAGGCGAAAGATTTCGTTGCTTTTTGTTTGCTAAGAACGAAAGTACTCTGACGTTTTCCGAGGATTACCCGAGATCTGTGGAGAGTTTGAAATTGAACCGATTTCAGTCAGAAGACTTAGGAAGATGCGCTGAAGATTTTAGTGAAGATTTCCGAAGACGATGATCCAACGATTTCCCACTATTCTCCAAGGGTGTCAGACCCCGTCGGAAGAAAGCAGAGGACAAAATTGCGTTTTTAATAACGTTAACCATGTTCCTTGCATACGGCGACAACTATTTTCCTACCTGGCGACACTCGACGAACTATGAGTGGGCTGTTGGACGTGGGTGACCCATTTTTGGCGCCAAATTAAAACGTTTTCACTTTTGAAAATCTGATATTGTTTTTAGAATTATGAATCTTTTTTCGTGAATATTCAATGTCGTCTCCAGTCAGAAAAGCTGCCCGACTTCAATGCCTTTCCTGTTAACATACATTTGACGTCAGAACAGAACAGCTTTTCCCGCCTGCCGAATCCTGATTGGTCAATTCAAATTTCAGGCGCACCGGCCGTATGCAAGGCTCGACTAAATGATTTGCTTTTATCTACGCATGAATGATTGGTTGACTGACTGACTGACTGACTGACTGACTGATTGATCGATCGATCGATTGATTGATTGATTGATTGATTGATTGATTGACTTACTGACTGATCGATTGGTTGATTGATTGACTCACAAACCTGAACGTCTGATCTCAAAGGTATAATTTAACTTGGAGGGACCGACCACGTTCTCGGCGGCACAGTAATAAACTCCGTAGTCATCAGCACTGTCTGTAGAGATTTCGACCCAAACTGACTCGATACCGACCGCCACAACATTGTCATTCATTTCAATGCGCACATCAGGGGGAGGGTAACCGGTGAAAGCACACGCCAGTCTGATGGGAACTGGGCTCCCAAGGACACTGTATACGGGTCCTTTCAATAGGTCTGAGTCGAATGGCCTGGGCTCCACTGTTAATAGCAAAAGAGTAAACAGATTAAGATTCAAAAGAAAACTTCACTGCTGGAACAAATTTGCCTTTAAAAAATGTCACTGTGATCTCTTGTGTTGAGAATTTTTTGCATAGCAGAAGTATAAAGTATTTCTAGGATGATTTGTGATTTTCCTTGTGACGAGCGCCGCCGTGTTGGTTGTCGTGAAGTCACACATTTGCCGCCAGTTTTGCTTCAGAAAGGCCCTGTAACTTTTATACCCAGAAGCGCTGATTTCCTTCCAGGCTTAAACAATTTAACTAGAGGTTTTTGAAAGTAGTTTTTAATAGGGTAACGCATATTAGGGGGGAGAGTTTACAAGCGGCATTGAAACACTGTTAAGAAGTGAACTGACAAGACACGACTAAGCTCAAGTTAGAGATATACTGTAACGAAACTTCACTTAAGTTAAATGTTTTGATCTACACTCTTTGACTTCAAGTACAAGTTTCCGTGAGCAAATCATCTGAGAACCAAAGAAGTCCAAACGAGGTAGTTTCTTCGGCTAATACAGAAGCTCATCAGTAGGAGTGTTCAACTCCCATAGTAAGCTTATTTCATGCTATTTTTACACACCGGTCTAGTTTTAGGCTTCTTTTCCCGCGAAACAGGTCAGTTCCGGTCTTCATGAGCGCGCATCGGTAACGAAAAAATGGATTTTTTTTCTTTCTAATCTTACGGTGAAATGATGGCGTCAGTTAAAAATTAAGTCCGTGCTTGTGATTGGTCACTGAAGTTTCTGTGGGAGCCTGAATTCGTCGGTCTGTGTAAACGCCATGACAGGGATATATATGCGGTAGTTGCACGCTCCTAGTGGTGGGCTCCTGGTTAATATTATTGTTGTAAAGATCAATGTTGAACAAGATCAGTAATCAAACCATACCCATAACATAGATATTAATGGTCGCTTTCTTCACAATGATCTCTCCTTCCTCATCGGTGGCGTCATTTGAAGCTTCGCAAGTAAATTGAGAGATGTCTTCTAAGCCGAGATTCTCCAGGTTTATTACACTTTCGCCGGGTATTTTCTGCGTGTTTATAAATCAAACAGATAAAAGAATCAGTCCTCCGATGGAAAAAAACGACGGCTGTACATTTTACAACAATACCATGCGAGCCTTACACAGCCCATAAAGTACAAGGAAATAAAAAGCATATTTTGGCAACGACAGTAAAGATTATCGTTGTTGTTCTTGTTGTAATGTTTGCTCTTGTGCTAAAGACATTGTGTATGCTAGTTTTGAAGATTTTAGAGCTTTTCTGTACGTTTTTATGAGCGTTGTTAAAGTTTTCGTACGCTAGGAATTATGGGTAAATGTATCAGTCGCCATTTTGTTTCCAGTACGAAGGATTAAACAATACAAAATAACCAGGCTGGAAGCATAAAGAGTGACTTTTGCAACGTATGGCCACACAAGCGAGACCAAGAATGATTCGCTCTCGACTCTCTTCTAGAAATTCCAAGCAAACTACATCCGTAAAGGACGGTAAGAGGTCCAACGATCCTTAACCCTGCATGTAAGAACCCACCAATTGTCCTGGATATTCTTCGTTGTCCTTGAACCAAACCACAGTGGGAAGTGGAAATCCAGAAGCTGTACAGTTAAGCACTTCGTCATCTCCTTCGTTTGCGGTGATATTTGAAAGCTGGGGAATTTCCGGTGGCACTGTGAACAATGGAAAGGATCTAACTAACATGCAACTAGCAAGTTTTTCTGTTCACAAACCCAAAGAATGGATCGCATGTTCACATTTTTTAATTTCCAAGGGGTACTCCCCTATATGGGCTATATAGGTATGTGCAGCCCCAAAGGGTATGTTTTTCAGCCATTTTGGTCATCAGTAGGGTATAGATTTTGGCCATTTTGGTCTGAAATAGGGTATGGTTTTTGCACTTTAGTCTTGAACTCGGTTTGTTTTTAGAAGAAGACACTTTTTCATCATTATCGATAAGACCATCACTAAAAGCCCGTAACAATGCCTTTTAACATCGGTCTGAACAAGTTTTAAAATCAAAACAGGGTATTGATTCAAGGGTCAGGTCTTAAACAGAGTATCAAATTTTTGGTCAGGTCATAAATAGGTTAGGGAAAATCACAGATCTTGGTCTTAAATAGGGTAAGAGTTTTGGGAAGCGGGGCGCACAGCCCCACATGATTTTTCTGAGAGTACCCCCTCCCCCGGTATCAATTTAAGGCGATGTAAGATTATAAATCGTTTTAGTTAAATTACCAGTTCTTTGTGCGCTGCAATTTAAAGTTTTGTTTATTAAAAAGAAAACTTACTATATATAGCCTGGATTTCGATTTGTCGACTGGCAGTCCCCACCGCGTTTATCGCCTCGCAGGTCCACGGGCCGATATCTGAGAGCTGTGCCTGAGAGAGTATCAAGCTTCCCTCACTGTCAATTGATATCCGGGAATTTGACTCGGAGTCTATGACTGGTTCTTCATCTGGGCCCGTCCACGTGATTTCCGGTTTAGGTATACCAGAAACTAAACATTCTAATTTTGCCGGATAACCAAAGGTTAGATTTCGTTCTGATGGGCGTGTCGTGTCGATCTGCGGGGGGTCTGCGAATGTAAACATGAATGACAATGACAATGATTTCTTTAATGTGGTAATGTTTGAAATATCTTCGACCTCCTTACCTAAAGAGCACACAAGGTATTTCCATATTCAATTTTGACAACTTGGTAGTTACGTACAGTTGTGATCCGTCTTAAACAGTGCATGTATTCAACGAAGCTTCATCAAATATTGGTTACTATCAGCATATATAACAAGCGCATTAATAGGGTGTCGAGCAGTTATGTAAATCGACGTCAACCCGTCCCGGTTTCAGTAGAATTAAGCGACTTGGAGTGTCTCCTCTGGATGTGATAGTAGCATATCGCAGGGTTACCCCCATCATTAAATTCTCCGGGACCCATTTATATACCTGGGTGGAGAGAAGCACTCTGACGTGCAGTAAAGTGTCTTGTTCAAGAACACAACACAATGTCCCCGGCCAGTGCTCGAACCTCCGGAGGCGAGCGCACAAACCATGGAGCCACTTCGCCTCCTCTGGTTCCTTGCTTGGCTCAGAGCAAAAAAACTAGCGAGTAACAATGTACAATTTTTCGCGTTGTAAAGTAAAAAACAAAAGTAAGCTCTTACCAACCACCACGACTTTAATTCTTTCGGTGGTTTCCCTTCGTCTGTTTAGTTGTGATATCCTCACGGTATAGTCCCCGTCATCTTCAGCTGATACGCTGCTGATTGTGATGGTTCCGTCAGGTTGAAGACTATAGCGACTGGAGTTTGCGTCAAATTTGACGCCATCTTTCTTCCAGAGGTACTCAGGAGCAGGATAGCCGACCTTGACACCAACGAAGATCTCGCCTTCCTTGTTTAACCACAAGACTTGTCTTGCAGGAGGATCGTCAACAGAAACTGCATGGTTGAAAGTTAACAACACATGTCTTAACATCCACAAACTGGGATAACAGTACACTTGAAAAAAAATTCCTGAGTTCAGTTGGACTTAGAAAAGGTTTGCAACCTTTTTTTAGCTGGTTCCAACCTTAACAAGCCAAACTCGGCCATACAAACCAAGATGAACAAACTCAGGGTGGTTTCCATTATGCCAAAAATTCCGGAAATTTCGGTCAAATTAAATGGATAGGTCCGTTTCAGTTCCTTCCGATCGGAAGATTCGGGATCAGCTCTGATCTCACTTTGATCGGTTGGACCGGTCGGACCGGTCGTAGCGAAATTTGTCATTCCATTTCGACAAACTGGTTCATTACCCTTCTTTCCAGTAGATCTCACTTAAATGGTGAATTGGGGAAAGGAATAGAAAATGGTAAGAGTCATTCCTCTCGGTTGGCCCGGTTTAATCGGGAAAATGTCGTTCTATTTCTTCGGTTAGTCCCGCTGGTCTCTGACCGCTCGGTCTAGCATAATGAAAGCACCCTTAGTCTGTGAGAGAATCGAGTGAACTCAAAATCTTCTCCGAGACAGTGAGAATGTTGTTTATGGTTATGTCGGCTGTAATTTACTGCTTTGACACTTAGGCCACCTCTTCACCAAGCTTTCGACACCAATGAAACGCGTTTGAAGTACATCGAAGTTTCCTATTGTTAGCAGCACGTTGGGATATTTTGGATGGAAAATGACAATCTGGCATCCGTATATACACCTAGGTGATATCACGTGCAACTCTGCTATTCAGAGAGGCACAAAATGCTTTACCCGTAAATTATCCGTCTCCTCTCTTCTAATTCCATTTCCAAACATAACCTCACTGAAGTCGCCTTTTGAGAGAGAGGAAACCTATCAATTTATTACCAGACGGGTAATGGAGTATATGGGGTACCTACATTCAACGTAAAGCGAGTAAGTTGCACTCGTTTTGCTTCCGCGACAAACATACTCGCCGCCATCGGATAACATCAGCCTCCGAATTACGAGTGAATAGCTGTCGTCTTCAACCTCGACGAATATTCTGTCGCTTGGACTTGTCCCCGTGATTTGCTCGCCACTGGATTTGAACCAACCGAGAAATTCCTGGCCACGAATGAAACAGATGGTTCTGGTACTCTTGTCCATGTCAGCAACCACAAAGTCGCTGTTATGAGAGAGCTGCACGACTGGATCTTTGGGTGAAATAGGAACATTGTTCGAGAAAAAAAGAAGCAATTACATACCTAAAAAATATTTAAAAGAGTTTCATCGCGTAGATGAAAAACGAAGGAAGCAAAGTCAAGGCAATTTAATTCTAAAAAGAGCGGCATTTTAGGTCTGCAACCAACTAAAGGGCGCAGCCATTAATCACAGTGACCGGGATATCCGCATGGTTAAGGATGGTCTTCGCTTCATGAGCTAGACTGAGTATGAAATGATGCAATGTTGAATGTTTTAACATTTTAGTGACTGTTTATTTTGTCTTTTTATTTGGCTCATCACATACGTAAACCTCGTTGAATTGATCGGGCAAAATATTGCTTTGTAAAGATGCGCTACTGTTTGTAAGTCAAACGGGATAGACCAAGTGGGACAGTTTGTCTATTTGTTCAATGTGTGACCTCGGAATAGAGCACTTTCTTGTTTTACCTTCAATTCTCGCTTTTATGGAAGACGTTTCACCGATAACTTCCTCCGACCATGGTCCCATTCCATACTGATTAGCAGCTGATACCAGAAACACGTACTCAGTTCCAGGGGTTAGTAAATCGACAGTCAATGAGTTCACAACGCCAGACACTTGGAGAATCTTACCAGGCCTACCTTAAAGGAGAAGAGCTACAGGCAATTCTATGCTGTTCTACGTGAGTAGTTCTTTAATTATTCGGATTGTCCATAATTTTACGTCCACTTTGAAAGGGGAAAAGGGTAAAATAAAAATAAGTGTAATAAAGGATAAATAGAATGGGGTCCATTTATCATTTACTAGTTGAAAAATGTAATATTAAAGTTTGTGCATTAAATTCTTATTTTCCTTATTTACTCTATATCCTCTAATCCCACATTTCGGCACTAAAAACGTATTCTTTCGTCCACCGTACCCTGGCCACTAACCGTGGACGATGAGTACACTGTGAAGTGCATTCATTGGAATAGGGGGCATTGTCGGAATAGTGGTGTTCACTACGTTAACACATCTAAATGGCGATCATTTAAATGATGGAATTATGCCGGGTGCTAAGTCACTGATTTCCCTTAATACCGGGGGGTAGGGGGAGGGGATATGAATCGAGAAGCGGTACCAAATTGAAATAAAAGGACAACTTACAGCTCAAAATATTCAATATTTTAATGCAGAAAATACTTTACCTTCGTTGACGTTAATAACTTTAATCCAGTAAAACACAATATCTTCACTTCCTTGACGGGGTGGTTTCCAGGTTACCTCAAGCTCGGTGTCTGAGACAGCTGCGGTGGAAATATCCACGGGAACACTAGGGAGAATGGTCCGGACTGTGGTAGGTTGGCTCTACAGAATTAATTAAAGCAAACCGGTTGTTTCAGTACCAGGTAAAATGAGCCTACTGAAGACAAGAAATGCAGTAATCTTACTTTCTCTGGTGTAGACGTCTTTACTTCATCTGGCGAAGACGTTGTCCCTTCCTTCTCTTGTGAAGAAGTTGCCCCTTCTTCATCTGGTGAAGACGTTGTCCCCAATTCTTCCTCTGGCGAAGACGTTGTCGCTTTTTCCTCTGGCGAGGACGTTGTCCCTTCTTCCTTTGGTGATGATGTTGTCCATTCTTCCTCTGGCGATGACGTTGTCCCTTCTTCCACTGGCGAAGAAGATGTCCCTTCCTCATCTGGCGAGGACGTTGTCCCGTCTTCCTCTGGTGAAGACGTTGTCCCTTCTTTATCTGGTGAAGACGTTGTCCCCAATTCTTTCTCTGGCGAAGAAGTTGTCCCTTCTTCCTCCGGCGACGACGTTGTCCCTTCTTCCTCCGGAGAAGAGGTTGTCCCTTCTGCATCTGGCGAAGATGTTCTCCCTTCTTCCTCTGGTGAAGACGTTTTTCCTTCTTTATCTTGCGAAGAAGTTGTTCTTTCTTCATCTAACGAAGACGTTGTCGCTTCCTCATCTGGCGAGGACGTTGTTCCTTCTCCCTCTGGCGAAGATGTTGTCCCTTCTTCCTTTGGCGAAAACGTTGTCCCTTCTTCCTTTGGCGATGACGTTGTCCCGTCTTCCTCTGGCGAAGAAGATGTCCTTTCCTCATCTGGCGAGGACGTTGTCCCATCTTCCTCGGGTGAAGACGTTGTCCCCAATTCTTCCTCTAGCGAAGACGTTGTCCCCTCTTCCTCTGGCGAAGAGGTTGTCCCTTCTTCATGGGGTGAGGACGTCTTTCCTTCTCCATCTGGCAAAGCCGTTGTTCCTTCTTCATCAGGCGAGGACGTTGTCCCTTCTTCATCGGGGGAAGACGTTGTCCCTCCTTCCTCTGGCGAAGACGTTGTTCCTTTTTCAGTTAGCATTGAGGTTGTTCCCTCTTCGTCATGGGAAGAATTTGTTCCTTTTTCCTCTGAAGAAGATGTCGTCCCTTCTCCAACTGACAAGGACGTCCCTTCTTCCCCTAACGAAGACGTTGTTCCTTTTTCATTTGGCGAAGACGTTGTTCCTTCTTCATCGGGTGAGGACGTCGTCCCTTCTTCCTCTGGCGAAGACGTTGTCTCTTCTTTATCTGGCGAAGACGTTGGTCTTTCTTCATCGGGTGAGGACGTCGTCCCTTCTTCCTCTGGCGAGGACGTTGTCTCTTCTCCATCTGGCGATGACGTTGTCCCTTCTTCATCGGGTGAGGAAGTCGTCCCTTCTTCCTCTGGCGAAGACGTTGTCTCCTCTTCCTCTGGCAAAGACGTCATCTCTTCTTCCTCTGGCGAAAACGGTGTCTCCTCTTCCTCTGGCGAAGACGTTGCCTCTTCTTCCTCTGGCGAAGACGTTGTTCCTTCTTTATCAGGTGAAGCTGTGGTCCCTTCTTCGTCAGGTGGGGACGTCGTCTCCTCTTTAACTGGAAAGGACGTCGTCCTTTCTTCCTCTGGCGAAGACGTTGTCCCTCCTTCATCTGGTGATGACGTCTTTTCTTCTACATTTGGTGAAGATGTTGGCCTTTCTTGTTCTGGCGAAGACGTCGTTCTCTGTTCATCGGGCGCTGAGGTTGTTGCCTCATGATCTGGTGCAGAGGTAGGCCCTTCTTGATCTGGTTCTAACGTTGTTTCTTCTTGATCTGACGGAGAGGTTGGTCCTGCTGGATCTGGTGAAGAAGTCGTACCTTCTAGGATTAATGAAGACGTTGCCATTTTATCTGGGAGAAGCGTCGCTCCTTTTGTTGCCAGTGCAGGTTTGGATGATGTCAATTCTTGAACTGGGAAAGATGAAAACTCTTCATTTGATGAAGACGTTGTACTTTCTAGATCCGGTGTAGATGATATATCTTCTTCATCTGTTATTGTGGATGATGTGACTACTTCTTCTATGAAAGAAATTGTCACTTTTTCTTGCGGGGAGGTTTTTGGTGTCCCTTCATCAGATGTTGTTGGTGTAAGTTCCGTTGTAGTCGCAGCTGTTAAGGTGGTAGGTGTAGCTTCCACACCTGCATTTTTCATCAGACGAAGTAGACATAAGTTATATTTATATCAGAATATCGTAGTTTCTCGCTTTCACCACTTTATTTTTTGTAATACAGATTTAAGAATATCTGAATTACCCTTTCGTTGTTGTTCTATGCTTGAATAAGAAAACATTACATAGTTAAGGTTGAAAAAGTTGATTTATAGAGGCACTGTGGGAGTAAAGGTTCTTGCCTTAGAACGTGACAAGGGTACCATAAGTCTTGATATGTCGAGCCCAGCCTTAATTTGGTAGGCGTCTCCTGCGCCAACCATTTTGGTGCGGCTCTGTCCTCGTTTTGAACCATTTTAAAACATCTGTTTTAAAACTAAGATGTAAGACAGCCATTCCTTGGTCTCCTAAATTGCTAAATCGTTCCGAATAACAGCTGAAGTGGCGTAAGCCAAACCACAATTAAACCTGGTATTGTATCTGATCATCTACGTGAAATACAGTTAAAACCCGCCTGTGAGAGCCTACATTTTGTGAAGACTAGCAAAATAGGTCCTTGTATCTTGGAGTAGTTATTGGCAAGTGAGGCTAAGTAGGTTCTTAATTATGTTCTTGAAGTCTATGAAGTAAATATAGTTGGTGATTAACAGAAAAATAAATAAACTTAGGTTTGGTCCTCATTTATTCACAACTGTATTATGTATTTTCTTGTCATACAAATTTGCAATCTCAAAGTCACACTCCTTGGCTAAAATGCTGATTATAATTTAATTGTAACCAACAAATAAGAACCCGCCGTCTTGGTCTNGCTGACCTTTCAATCGGGTTGGGAGACCAAACTAACCGGAACTCACGAAGTCGTTTTCCGAATGAGTTTGTCTATGATAAGAATATTATTTCAGACAAAGTAGCTTACCTTTGGATGCGGATAGACAGAGAGGCGCGCAACAGATTAAAACAATGAGCAACTGCAGTGAGAACATTTGCGCCATCTCGACGGTGTACTAGCACTCAGTCTTCTTTCCGAATGTAGACAAGCCTATATGTCAAAATCACAACATATGAATAGAAAAATGGATTAATATAGAAAGAAAAACGTTTCCTGAGCTCCAACCGCAAACAAAAAAATATGCCTTTACCTGATGTTGCTTTTGGAAAACGAAGCACTGATCGGACCTCGACTGAAATGTGAAATGTGAAAGGTTTCGGGCGGTATGGAATTTAATCATTATCGTGCAATATCGCTTTTCCTTCACGAATCCAAATTATGTCGTCATGGTGTAAATTTTCTTCAGATGGAGCGGCTTCCAGGGCTGAACAAACGTTTGTTTTATGTCAACGATTGCTTTTTCAAACCCCTGGTTTGATGCACAATTTATACTAATCCTTTTGAGTCTAGACGTGGAGTAGAATAAGTGAGTGTTCATATTTTGTTGGAATCTTTTTTTCTCCGATTCCTTTTTTGAAATTTCGCTAAAAAATGTAAAAAGTAAGTCGATCGTCGCAAGAAGTACTTCATTTTCTAAGGGTCGGTGCTGTTTTCTCGCCTGGCCTTGAGTAAAACGAGGACTGGTCATTTTTCAGGGAGTTTTCTTGTTTTTTTTAATATTTCTTCCCTGCCATGTCGGGGTTCTGACCCAATGTTTGAAGTCAACATGTTGGATTGATACATTAACTATCAGTTCAGCGATAAATGTGTAATAATACATTGAATCTCTCAACGATAATGTCGTTTTAAAAGACGACATGCTATGCCAAAAAAACATGCAGCTATGTTTGGCATCCACGCGAGAAATTCCTCTTAGGTCCTCTGCATGAGGATTCCTCCGAAACAGTAGAGGGTGTTCAAGGGCACAATAATTCTTCCAACGACAGACAATGTAAGAGAGTATAACTGTTATTTCGATGCCTGATGAAGTGACTGTAGACAGCTTGTTTGAAAACAGTTGGCTGAGGAAGGTAATATTTTTCCGTATACGCGCAGGGCACCATGAAATAAGGCTCTTACTCAGATTGATTTGCTGCAAGAACTCGTCGTGACTTTCGATCAGACATCTTGAGTTTATTACATATTTCCGTTTATTTACAAACACGGTTTGTTTCTTGACGATTCAGCCCTAGAATGTTTATTTTTCGTCTGAACATGTAATT